TATTATTTTTTTTTTATTTTTTTTATTTTGCTATTAGGCTTAATTTCTTTTATTTTTATTTTTTTTCTCATTATTATTATTTTTTTGGCTTAATTTTCTTATTTTTTTCTACTTTTTAATTTCATTTTTCAGTACTTAAACATAAAAATCAAAATAAAGAAATTTACTTTAAAAAAAAACACCCTTCATGTTTTTTACGGCCATACGCCAATCAAAATAAACATATTTACATAAAAAAATAAAATAAAAAACCCTTCATTTTTTTTGCGGCCATACACCGATCTTACTTACTCGCCTCTTCTATCGTTTTCTTCCTCTTTTTCTCACCTTAGGAGGCCCTTGAAGGCCTTACCTCGTGTTTTCGTCGAGAGTGACGACTCCCCGCTAACTATCAAAGACCAAGAATGACGTTGCTCCAAATTGGGCTATTGAGGTGGTCTTCCGTTTAAGCTCTTTATTTTTGGCCTTCAATGTGCAAATCTCTGCTCGCGCATCCTTGTACATGCGATGGAGTAGCGAGAGTTGGGCGTTGACCTGGTGGAGCTCATTCGTCCTGTTCTACAGTCGGTGAGCCAATTTTATGACTGCCGTCACCGTCTCCATACAGGATGTCAGTGTGAAATGATTGATTCGCATGTTACTTGCATTTGCATGTTTTAGAGATTTCAAACTTTATCAAATGGATGTAAAAAGTGTCTTTCTTAATGGTTTTATAAATGAGGAAGTTTATGTTAAACAACCCCCAGGTCTTGAAGATCATGCTTTTCCAAATCATATTTTTAAACTATCAAAAGTTTTATATGGTTTGAAACAAGCATCTCGTGCATGGTATGAACGATTAAGTAAATTTTTGATTGAAAATAATTTTTCTAGAGGAACGATTGACACAACACTTTTTGTTAAAACTAAAAATGATGATTTACTTATTGTGCAAATATATGTGGATGACATTATATTTGGTGCTACTAATGAAACCTTGTATAAGAAATTTGCTAAGTGTATGCAAGGTGAGTTTGAGATGAGCATGATGGGGGAGCTAAATTATTTCCTTGGGCTTCAAATCAATCAATGTAAGGAATGAATTTTTATCAACCAAGCTAAGTATATAAAAAAACTACTCAAAAAGTTTGGTATGTATGACTCAAAAATAACTGGAACACCTATGAGCACATCCATTAAGCTAGACAGTGATGAAAAAGGTAAGTCCATTAATCAAACAAAATATCAAGATATG